GGGAGGGCTGCGGGGAGCCCCTCCCGCCGCTCGGGCCGCTCCGAAGGTAAAAAGGACACTCGGGCGCAGCGGCCTCTCTTCCCCTTGGGCGCCTCGGTGGTCCGGGATGGCGCTCACCGTGCGCGCGCGGAGCCGCTGGGCGTCTGGAGTGGGCAGCCGACGGGGGCAAGGGTGGCGCTGCGTTGCGAGCCGAGGCGTGCGCTCCGGGGGCGCAGACCGCTTCGCCCGGTCCCCGCTGCACTGAGCTGCTCCTAGTGGGACGAGAGCCGGCGCGGGAGGGACTTAGCCGGGCGGCGCTCGGAGGCCAGGGGGGCGGGGGGCGGGAGCAAGCGGGAGCAGGGGCCTTCAAGCCGCCCGGGGCTGCCCGCCGTGAACGCCTGTCAGGAAAGAGCGCCTGTCCGCGTCCCCGCCGGGCCGGCCCCTCGGCGCCGGGTGCCTGCCACGCTGCGGATCTGGACAGGACCTCCCCACGGTGGCCGCTGCCAGCAGCGCCTTGGGGTTTGAGTGACATCCAAGCTGGGGTCCTTCAGGCAAAATCGCTTGACATCCAAACGGGGACAATAGGTGTCAAGCCGCAGGCTCCGGAGCCCGGGACTGCCCCCTTGTAGAGAGCCCTTATTTGGGGGTGGTGGGGGTTGGGGAAGGCAAAGGTTTCTGAAAGTGAGGGGTGCGTGGGGGTGGGTGGTGCCATCCCAGCTTCTAGAATTCTTCCTATATGCACAGCAAGCAAACTCACCCTAAAAGGTCTGAAAAAAGACAGCTGGCCACATAACAATCATCCCGTAACCTTGGCATTCTCTCTAGAATCCATGGAGAAGGAGCATCCTTAAGTGGCCTTTTGATGTCCTAAGATTCCCCAGGTCATGTTAAAAACCGTCTTCACCTACCCTGAGTTAGTTAACAAGTAGGCCCAGGTCCTATCATGAATTTCTCAGCTTTCCCCTTTGTTTTAGATTTTTACCCAAAACTTCAAAGACTATGCTTGATGGGGGTTTGGGGGCTTTTCTACGAGAAAATTATCCCAGGGTGGGGGTGAACAATGAGTAGAAAAGGCATGCGCTAGAAAAATGTACTAAAAGGAATATAATCCATGGAAAATTCAACATAGTGTTGTATGATAACAGTAAATGACCAATTTATAATTTAAATTCCATGAAAAGATTTAGCAGAGAATTCTACCAAAGTCACTGTTCCCTGGGGATTAAAATAAGTAATGCTGGCTGGCACCACTACATCTGGAGGAGATGTGTGATGATATTTTATTTGTGCACCCCAATAAAGCTCATATGGAGATCAGGAATCAGCTAGCCACTATATTAAACATAGAAGTAGCACATGCCTTTAATCCTATTACTTGGAAGGCAGAGATCCCTCTGGATGTCTGGGAGTTCAAGGCCACAATAGAAACAGAGCCAGGCAGTGGTGGCACACACCTTTAATCCCAGCACTTGAGAGCTCATGTCTTTGCTTGGGACAGACACACACTTTTAATCCCAGGAAGTGATGGCAAGAAGCAGAAAGGTATATAAGGTGTGGGGACCAGGAACAAGAGGCTTTTGAGCAGTTCAGCTGAGATCCATTCCAGTGAGGACTCAGAGGCTTTCAGTCTGAGGAAACAAGATCAGCTGAGGAGTTGGTGAAGTGAGGTTGGCTGTAGCTTGTTCTGTCTCTCTGAACTTTCAGAATTTACCCCAATTGGCTTTTTTTTCTTGACAGGACCTCACTGTGCAGCTCTAACTTGGTCCGGAACTCACTGTGTAGACTAGGCTAGTCTTAAACTCAGAGAGGCCTGCCTGCCTCTGCCTCCCCAGTGCTAGTATTAAAGACGGTGCCCACGCAAGGTTCTTTAGTTCCTGGTGAATGATGTTCCCTTTACTAGAAAGTCCTCCTCTAAGCCTTCCCTGCTTCCTTTGGTCCTTGTCCCGAAGCACCCCAGTAAGGGTTTTGTTTGTTTGTTTGTTGTTTTTCTTTTAAGACCTTTTAAGATTCGCCTTACAGAGATTTACTGTAGATTTACTGTACAGAGAAACAACAGCAGCCTGTGGCCTTGAGATATTCCAGTTAGCTATAAAGTCTGTAATCTGTACATTGAAATATTTATGAGCATCTGATGGCACACTAAGAACTCCTCAGGGCTAGGAATGGTGAACAAAACAGAGTCTTTTATGGAGTTGGTAGGGGATGATGTGCACAGATAACAAGGAAAGCAAAGGAAGAAAAGGGGTGGTGGCCAGTGAAAGCCTTACTGGGGTGCTTCGGGACAAGGACCGAAGGAAGCAGGGAAGGCTTAGAGGAGGACTTTCTAGTAAAGGGAACATCATTCACCAGGAACTAAAGAGCCTTGCGTGGGCACCCTGTCTTTAATACTAGCACTGGGGAGGCAGAGGCAGGCAGGCCTCTTTGAGTTTAAGACTAGTCTAGTCTACACAGTGAGTTCCAGACCAAGTTAGAGCTGCACAGTGAGATCCTGTCAAGGAAAAAAAATCCTAATAGGTTCCACAGTGGCCGGAGCAAGGAGTAGAAAAAAAGATATAGAAGGGGCCTGACCAGTATTTGCTTAGTGAAAATGAGAATGTTAGTTTCATCAACTTGCGGCTGGGACACCTTTAACCCAACACTTGTACTTGGGAGGCAGAGGCAGGTGGATCTCAGTGAGTTAAAGGTCAGTCTGGTCTACAGAGCAAGTTCCAGGACAACCAAGGCTACACAGAGAAACTCTGTCTCAAAAAGACAATAAGTTAAAATAATAAATCACTCACTGTTATATTAAAAAAAAAATTCAATGTGTAGTGGAGGTGAAAGGCTAAATGCAAAAGCAGAATCCAAGAGACCAGGGAATGGGCTGATGATGTCAGCCCGCCCACAGTGGTGTAGCCCAAAACAGGGACAAGCAGTAAAGGTGAGTCGGATTCATTATACATTGTAATTATAAAACCGGTAAGGTGATAGCAAGGGTCGGAGTCATTTGTCAGTGCCATAGTAGAACCAAAAGATTTGCTAAGCAGTTGTATATCAGGTATGAGAAGAATAAAAGTTAACTTACGATTAGACTTAAATAAGTAAACTACTTAGCACTATGATAAAACATTCCAGTGCCTAGAGAGCATTAGGATCCTTAGCTACTGGTAATTCCAAGCGTATTCAGACCAACCGATGTCACTATCTTTGACATCCAAGGCAAACCTACTGAATTAGCCTGCATTTTAACAAAATCTTCAGAATTTTGAAGAGTTTTCAAAAATTGTGTGATTCTGCAGAACTTGACCAATGTATTTGAGATCAGACATTGAATACTCCAGTAGACAAATTCTCCACAGACCTACAGGATCAGAAACCTCTGGCATGAAGCCCAGCAACTGTTTTAACATGCTCTGTGGATAATTCTGATGGATACCGAAGTATGAGAACCAGAGCCAGCTCCAAGCAAGTGGCCCTCTAATTGCTTTATGGTTTTAGGTATATGTATGCATGTGTGTACAAGTGAGTTGTGCCCAAGTATGTAGAGTCCAGAGCAGGAATATTGTCTTCTCTATCCTTTGCCTTATTGCCTTGTAACAGTATCTCTCACTGTAAGGGAAACTCATTGTTTTGGCTAGGCTGGCTGGCCAGAGAAGTCTCAAGATCTCCTGATCTTGCTGGGGTTACAAACAGCCATGCTCAACTTTTTACGTGGGTGATTGGGATTCAAACTCAGGTCCCTTTGCTTGCAAAATGAATGCTCCTGCCCACTAATGTGGAATCTTTGTACTGTGAAGATGTGTATTTGCCCAGGCACCTTCTCATTGGTTTAATAAAAAGCTAAATGACCAATATCTAGGCAGGAGGTATAAGCAGGGCTTCCAGGCACAGGGGGGACTCTGGGAAGAAGAGAGACAGAGAAGTCAGCCAAACTTGAAACAAATTGGACACACAGAATGAGAGGTAAAAGCCACATGGTAGAACATGGTAGAACCCATAAAAATATGGGTTAATTTATAAGAGCTAGTTAGGAACAAGCCTAAGCTATAGACCAAGCTTTCATATTAAGTCTCCATGTCATTATTTGGGAGCTGTCTGACAGGACAGACACCTTGCACATTAAGCCATCTCCCAGATCCATCTATTTTTATAAAGATTTATTGGAACACATCTGCATCCATTGATGTATTTTCTATGGTGACTTTCATGCCACAGCAAATCAGTTACTATGACAGAGTGTTCGACATCTAAAATACAAGCCAGCAAGATGAGTCAGTGAGAAAAAGCACTTTCCCTAAGCCTGAAAACCTGTTTGATCCCCCAAAAACTATATGGTAGAAAGAGAAAATGGAGTTCATCAAGTTGATTTCTGACCTTCATATGCTTTTGGTGAGATATGCATGCCCACATATACAGTCCCTCAAAAGAAATATCAAATCTAAAAGACTCTTCCTCTTCTGTAATGGAAGTTTTCAAGTCCCTGCCTTAAACATATCACAGTTCAACAGAGGGCTCTCGTAAGTTGCTCAGCAGACCAGACTGCCAGAGAAGCTTTTGATTACTGTGCTATAAGACTGACAGGTAACTCTGGTGGTGGGGAATGGAGGATGTCCAGACAGGATCTCACTATGTAGCTCAAGCCAGTTTGAACTCACACTTCTACCAAAGCCTCCTGAGTGATGGGATTACAGATACACACATGTATGCATCACACACATAAAAGTCAGTCAAAGTCTCCAGACAGGCAACATATGCCAGAGTTACATGAAACACATTCAACTTAACGTAAGAGAATAAAGAGATGATATTTTGTCAGAGACCTGGTTGGGAAACTCAATGTACTCAAAATATTTGGGTGAACTGTTATGGTTTCACTTTTCATAATCTGTCTTCTCAATCCTCCTTTTTCTTTCTGTTCTGATATTCTTGGAATAGCAGCAAGTCCAAGAAAACCAATACATTTAAGGGAAAGCTGCATCTTTAGGCTGACTTCCTGCCAAGCCCAATGCAATGACCTCAGTAAGCCAAATATGTCTGTTTCCTGTTTGACAGAAAGTGAAATTTTTATGCAAAACTTAATCACGGCTGTATTTTAACTTTTTTTTTCTCCAAAGCAATGTAATAGAATCATTATTTTGGTGAAAAAAAATATAAAAGGTATTTTACAAACCCAAGGGAATTGTACAAAACACTGATGGAAAACACTTGCCAAGTGTCCTCAAACCTTGATACTATGCACAATAGTGCATTTTAACAATCCAGATTTCCCAAGCAGATACTCACTCTAATCCCTGAGACCACAGCTTTCTGATGTTTCCATGGTGACATTGAATAACAGAGGTACTTAAATAGTTTTAGTAAAATTAGTCCAGCTGCTTCAATTTGAATCAGCTGCTAACTAATGCCTTTCCCCGCTCTTTGGTTAGTTATTTTACACACACACACACACACACACACACACACACACACACACACACACCTACCTCTCACCACCTCACATGCAGCCTAGACTGGCCTTGAACTTACTCTGTAGCCCAGGTTGGCAGTAAACTGATGACAATCCTCCTGCCCCAGCCTACCAAATTCTGGGTGATGTCAACTTCATGTGTAGTAAAAAAGATTTTTCATCAAGGACAACTTGGCTTCAGCTTGAGAGAAACCTGGTGAAAGTAGGAACCTCTTTGCGTATACAAACAAGGTTCTTAAACTCTCAACTGCTTTCAGTCATTTTAATACAAATCACAAGTATTTCTAGTATACTTTTCCTGATACCCCTTTCCTATTAATTCAGCCAATTTAATTATGGTTCACGAACTACCATGTAACCTAAGCTCTACCTTTTCAGCTCTTGTGTTTTCAGAAGCAATATCACAACTGCCACAAATATTTTGTCAATAAATGTGTTTCCTCTGTATTAGAACATCAATTTGATACTGAGTTGACCCATACTGTCTCTTTGCTGTCTTAGCCTAAATAGTATTCTTTTCAATATATATTTTCTTATGTACACCTTTTCTTGCGACGTTATTTCTAGATAATAAATTTTGTATTTTGGAGAGAGAGATATGGTATGTTCAAAATAGGATTTGTTTGGTTTTTGTTTTTTAATTTTCCCAGATACTGTTGTTTTTGTTTGTTTGTGAGACAGGGTCTTAAGTAGCCAGGGCTGGCCTCAAACTCACTATTTAGCCAAGGATGACCTTGGGGCTAATGAGGGGGGATGTATTTTTAATTATGTGTATGAGTGTGTGTCTGTGTATAGGTATATGCATGTGAATGTAGGTACCAGTGGAGATGAAAAAGGGCATCAAATACCTTGGAGCTGGAGTTAAGATATTTTAGAGCAGCCCAATGTGAGTGCTAGGTCTAGAACTCAAGTCCTCTGAAAAAGCAGTAAGTCTCTTAAACACTGAATCTTCTCTCAGTCCTTGACCTGAACTTTTGATCCTCCAACTCCCAAGTGCAGGAATTAAAGGCATGTGCCATCAATCCTAGTTTAATATAGTGCTGGGGATCAACTCAGGGCTTCCGATTGAGCCCCAAACACTGTTATTTTATTCTTTAATGGTTTGTTTGAAACTAAATCCCAGTTTTCTCTTACACTGCACAGTTTGTTCTTCACAGACATTTGTTCTTCATCAGCATTCTCTAAGTGAGCTCCATTCAGATCTACCTGTGTCTATGCTGGCCAGGGGGCCTGCTCGCAGGTTTGATAGCATAATGCATTAAACAGACAACGTGCGCACCCACCCCTCCATGCCTTTATCTGTTCCTGTCAGACTGGCACCCTCTGTATCCATATACTCACCTCACCAGCATTTATTTACCAGTCCTTTCCCACTCCCCTCAGCTCCTCCCTTCAACTTGAAAATGTGAAGTCAAATGGCCTGGCGTATGGTGGTGGATAGAGCAGTCTTCAAAACCATACTTTCTACCATATTGAGGAAGGGAAAAGTAGGTCACCTCCCCAGAAAATTTGTAAGATGCCCCACATCTTCCTGCTCCCAGCACCTCCTGGGGGAGTGGTCTCCTGGAAGCGTCACATCCAAGCTAACGGTGAAAGCTGCCATCAGCTCTATGGCTTCCTGGCACGTGGGAAGAGCTGCCTGGAACTCTACAAGCACAGTTGGAAAATGCTCCCGGGAGCAGAACCTGTCAACCAACACCCACGGTGACCACACTGTGCCGCTCATTTCGAAAGAAACAAATGTAGGGGACAAAAGGGCTCACTCCTTGCCCCCATGCAGGCAACCAAGCGGAAACTGTGAACCTTAATTTAGTGGCATCTGGACCACACCATGAAATATACCCCCTTTGTCCCAGCAGCCGTGCCCCGTTAGCCAAGGTGTCAGCTGCAGAGCAGATGTTTAATGGTTCCCGCATAGCCAATGCTTGTGTTCAACTCAACTATGGCTCCCTCCCTCCTTCACATTTCAGACCCCGCAGACTCCATGTTCAGCTTCTTCTCCAAGAGTCCAACTGTATCCAGCCCTGGATTCTCTTTTCAGACAATCTAAAGAACTGAAGAGAAAACCTAAAGCCTCTACACAGATTGGTGACTGGGCTCCAAGCCACCCAAAGAGGGAAACTACAAAGGGAAAGCTCAAGGTCAACCATATCCCATGGGACCTGTATCTGTCATGGCTACTGCCGAGCAGAAGTGGTTCTCACCCCCAGTACTCTAGAAGGACCAAAGTGACCAGTTAACGACACAATGAAGGGCCAGCAACACCCGCCCTGATACAGTCGGTGAAGATGTGTCTTGTTCCATTTGAGAAGCAGAATAGGGAGAAGGGAAAGTATTCTCTCTTTCCAAGGTAAAAGAGGTCCTAGGATTTCTGAGAAGCAAGTACACAGCTGGGATTTCTCCTGCATGAGCCATGATCTTCAAGATGTTAGGATTTCTGACTGAAGCTACATGAGATGCCTTCAGGCAGATTTGAGACTATTCTGGAGATCTGAGCTTCATTTCTTCTGAGAACTCCTCAGGGACTTAGTGGGTGGAGTCCTGGACCCAGAGTGCTGGGCAACCCCACAGGACCAAGTTTGCCTCTCTGTGGAGGTATCTATGTGGGTATTTGGTTTCCAACTCAGCAGCCAACTCAGGATCAAGCCAACAGAGAGCAATACTGCTGTTCCTTCAGGAACACTTAGGAGCTACACACTATGTTCAATATAAAAAAACACTGGCCAGAGGCACTGAACTCTTCCATGTAGTTGCCTAGGTGACTTGCATAGTTTTAATTTCGTGTCTCTGCTTTAGTGCTTGTCTACCTATAGTGACTTCACTCCTTAGGGATGTACCAATGTATGGAGCTGTTTTTGATGACACAATTTGAGGGAGTGATGTTAATTGCACCCAGTAGATGGAGGTCAAAGATGCATATAAACATCGCACAGTATACATAAAAAACTATGGAGCCAAAATGTCAGGGATGCCAGGGTTAGGAATGCCTGCTTTCTTTTAAGAGAAAAAAAATGTTTTTCATTAGTATTTTACAGTAAAAACATTGAAATGACATTGTCAAAAGAGAAAGCACTTAGACATTGTCTTAGTCAGTGTTCTATTGCTGTGAAGAGACACCAAAACCATGGCAACTCATTTTTAAAAAAGCATTTAAGCCAGGTGGTAGTGGTGCACACCTTTAATCCCAGCACTTGGAAGGCAGAAGCAGGCAGATCTCTGTGAGTTTCAGGCCAGCCTTGTGGAGTTGCCTTAATATTTTAACCAATATCTGGCACCCAACATGGGGCA